CGCGGCCCTGCCTGGCGCCGCTCCGTTTGCACCCTCAGCACCATTAACCCCACGTCCCCGCCTCCCCCCACATGGCGACGGCACCTCCCTGGCCCCTTGGTCAGCCAGGGCTGGGGGGAACACGCCACGCTTCACGATGGCCCCCAAATGACAGCCCACATCCCCGGGGAGCCCCCCCCCCCCCCCCTGCCCCTTAGCCGGCCCAACGACTCCACGGGCTCCTGAGGCAGGAGGTGACCTGGTGCCAGCCGGGCTCCCTGTGCGGGACCTGCCGTCCTCCAGGGCACTGGGATCCCCTCGCCCGCTCCGGCCTTGCGGCTGGTCCCTGCTTGGGCCTGCGCGGCCTGGGCGCTGACGCCTCCCACGCTGCCTCCCGCAGCCCTTTCCAAAAACTGGGAAACAAGAGGCCGTGACGTCCGCGGCAGCTCCCAGGCCTGGGAATGGGGGAACAGGCAGTTTCCCCTGCCGAGGCCGCAGGGGCCGGGCCCCAGTGCGATGGCTCCCGTGTGGAGCTGGGCTCCCTGCAGCGCTGCGGGTGTCCCCAGAACCAGCAGAAGGAGCAGCCCCCTTGCAGTGTCCTCCCAGGGTGATGCTCGGCCATGGTCTCCTCATGGTGCTCCCCATCCCCGGAGCTCCCGCTGCACCAAAGCACAGAGAGGCCGCGCTGGCATCTGGGGACGTAGCCTCCACCCGAAGCCCTGTCCGGAAGCATCTCCTTACCCCAACAGGGCGCTCTCACTGTTACCCCACGGACACGCAGAAACCACAGCGCGCTCGCCCAGCGTACGCACCACAACGTCACTTTTATTAAGTCAAGGTCTTCCATTTTTGCACGTAGAAAATAGATAAAAAGTCGTCATTTTGTAAACAGTCACGGGAGCAGTAAGGCAAGCAGAGAAACAGCCACGTCGCCTTATTACCCCTGCCAGGGCAGCGAGCACCCCTGTGACTGCCCCGTGTCTACATAGGGTGCCCAAAGACACGGGGCACCCGCGATGGACGCAGCTCCGCTACCCCCACTTCGAACCGGGCAGGCCAGAGGGTGCCGGCAAAGGCGGGGGAGAAAATCAAGCAGCATCTCTGGCCAGCTGCCCTCCCTGCAGTGCCGGCAAAGGCGGGGGAGAAAATCAAGCAGCATCTCTGGCCAGCTGCCCTCCCGGGAGAGGCCCGGACAGGAGCGCCACGGCCTCGCCGAGCCGCCGCGGTTTGGACCAGGCCAGCCCCGGAAAGCGCCCGGCCCTGCTCCTTGCTCTCCCTCCCACTGGCAGCCCAGGCTGTTGTCACTGCAAACCCAGCGGAGACATGGCTTTTCTGCGGCTTTTCCGAGGCGGGAGGATCCGCGCTGCCCGGGGCGCTCCCGCTCCTGCGCGGGGCACAGCTGGACTCTGTGTCAATAAATCACCCATTAACCCAGGCCAACGGCTCCGTCCCCCTTGTGCTTTTGCCTGGGAAAAGCAAGCCATGTTTGCTCACAGACACCCCGTCCCCAAGCCCAGCGGGGCCTCGGGGGAGCCTGGCACGCTCGGAACGCTGCCCGGCTCCCACGCGGGCACCGCGGGCAGAGATCTGGGGAGCAGGGGCAAAAAAACACAGCAGGAAACACGTCGGTCCCGATCGCCTTCCCACCACGACAGGCCGGGCCAGGGGCCACGTCTGCCGAGGGCACCGGACCCCCGTCAAGGACACGGCAACACGTACACAGATATCCCTCCCTCCCCCAGGGGTTTAGAGGCCAAACAAAAACGAGGAAGCTCCAAGACCCGGCAGGAGCGCTTCTCTGTGGCGGTTTCACTGCCCAGCCCAGAGCAAGCGCTCCCGAACAGAAGTGAAACTGCCCGAAAGGCCAAGGGGGAACAGCCCGGAGCGCCACGGAGCGCTAACGGGGTCGGAGCGCGGCAAGGAGCTTCTGCAGCGCCTGCAGGTCCCGGCACCGCGTCCCGCGTCCTGCGCCAGGGCCTGGCCGTGCAAACACGGTGCCCGTGGGCCGCTGGCCACGGCGCTTCCTGCAGCGACGCGCGTCGGGCTCGATGCAGAATTCCCACTTGGGTAGCAGAAGGCGCAGCCCTGGGGCCGGTGTCACTCCGCAGCGCCGAGCTGGAGCAGGACATTGGCGAGACGAGTCACGGGGACACCGCATCCAAACCGAACTGCGATGCGGGAGAGGACTGCAGGGATGTCACCGTGTCTAAGCTACAGGGCTGCAGGACTGGCTGCGCTGAGCACAGGGAAACCCTCTTGCTTTACAGCTTCCTCAGGCCAGCCAGGGCCCAGAGCAATTTGCTTTCCACGAAAAAAGAGATTTCCACTCTCCTGCCCGCAGCACATCCTCACCGACGGCAAGGCAAAGCGTGGACAGGAGGTCCCTTTACAGAAGACACCCCATCTCCCTCCGAGCCTGCTGCAGAAACAGTGTCAACTCCAGGTGCTGGGGAGGAGATGTTCCGAGCCCTTCCCGCCCGGAGCATGAGGGGACGCGGCCGGTGTCGGCACGGGGCGAGTGGGGTCTGCGCCGCGCTGGTGCCCATGGTGCCTCCCTGCAGCGACGCTCTGCTTCTACCAGGGAGCTGGGGCCAAAAAGCCAAGCCTGACCTGGCGTGCTAAGACAGTGAGATACAAGTCCCTGCAGGGCTTTTTCAGAGAAGCCCCAAATTAAAACATTCCAGTTATATATTCCCAATATACCTTTTTTTTTTTTTTTTTCTCCCCCCACCCCTCCAGTCCGATGGGAAATCTACTTCCCCTCAGCAGCAGCACGGAGCAGCCTGGAGAAGGAGTCAGGCCGTGAGATCCACGAAGACGGCGTTGGCCGTGGTCTGTCCAAAGATGAAGGCTCCCAGCGTGACCATGAACACCCCGTAGCTGACCAGGGCCCACCAGCTGCGGACGCACAAGCGCAGTCAGAGGGGACCCACACGCCGCTGCCGGTGAGGAAAGCGGGGAGCAGAGCTGCCCTTACCTGACCGTTCGAGTTTCCTGGATCTCGGAGAGTTTGGCTTGAATCAGGCAAAGCCCTGGCAGGGAGGGGAGGCAAATTAGACCCAGGTGAGCACCGTGAGCACCAGGCGGCCAAGCAGCTGCTCGTCCAGAGCGACGAGCGCTGCTCTGCAGAAGCAGCAGGGATGTGTCCTCTCCTATTTCTCCCTGGCTTCTTCCAGACAGGTAGATAGATCCCAGAGTAATCCCAGTCCCTCCCAGCCCACTTTGGAGAGAAGCAAAGCACCTTGCCAGGAGATGGGAGGGATTTCCCCTTCAGTCCTCATCCCACCTCTCCCACATTCCCAGTGATGGAGCAGAGAGCCGAAGGAGAAGAGCTGGGTTGCCAACTGGCCCCACTTTCACTATTTGCAAAAGGGCTCTTGGTTCCTGTGCTCCCATCCTGACCCCTCTTTGCCTGAGACACAAGGACGAGAGCCCTCCACGGGCCACCAAGTGTCCTAGGAAGACAGGGCCATACCTGGGAAGACGAAGATGAAGCAGGCGGCCAAGCCCCCAATAACCGAGATGACTTTGCCAATGTCAGGGATGAACAGAGCCAGGAGGAGAGTCAGGAGGAACCAAGTGACAGTCTGGAGCAGGCGCCGGCGCCGCTCCCGCACCACGTCCTCCTCCACTGTCACCCCGGTGTAGCGGAGCCAAAGGCCTTCCAGGACAGCCCTGTGGGCACAAACCCGAGCGAGGAGGGTCCTGGCAATGTCCTCACCGCCGCCAGCCCCGGCCACCCCCGCCCCTCACCGGCCGCAGAAGTGCAGGATGGGGTAGGACGTCAGCACGCACAGGATGATGAAGGCCCGGGCAAGGGCCACGGGGATGTCGTTGGAGGGGTAGGAGAGCAGCACGTCTTGGTCCACGCTAGTGCCAAAAGTCAGGAAGCCGCAGACGCCTGCCAGGGAAGGGAGCGGTCAGCAGGGGACAGGGAAAGCTTGTGTCTGAGTGACAAGATCCAGAGGGATGTGACATGCAGGGGTGTGCACAGCGGTCAGGGCAGCCCTCCCCTCCTCCCTCACTCGCGCTGCTGCCCAGGGCACCTCAGCTCGCCAGGGGCTCACAGCCCCTCCGGGGACAATGTCCATGTTGCACAGGCCACCGAGAGGTCCCCTCACTTACCAGTGCCCGTGTAGACAAAAAGAGCGATCACCATGGCCGCCGTCACCACCGCCCCCCAGGTCTTCACCTCCGGCTGCTTCATGCTGTTGAAGACGGGCACGCTGCTCACGTGGCACTGCCGGGGACACGGGGAGAGCACTGGGAACGCGGCGGGACGAGCGGCAGCTGCGCGGGAGGCCTGCATGCGGCCGCCGCAAAGCGCTGCGGGGAGCGCGCGCAGCCCCGGGCTCACGCTGGGGACACGAGCGGCCTGGATAAAACTGATTCCTCCCGATCCTACTTGCAGCCCATTACAGGGAGCTCAGCTGGCGCCCCAGGCCGCAGCCAGGGCACTGGAGGGTGGCCAGGACCCGCCGTGACCCGCCAGCTCCTTTGGGGACTAGAGCAGCCCCGTGCCCGGCAGCCGCGAGGCCGCAGCCTCACCTGGAATCCGAAGCAGATGGTGGGCATGGCGTTGAACACGGCCATCCACGTGGAGGGGCTGCCAGGAAAGAAATACCCACCGGTGAGAGCGTGCGGTGGGGACAGCCCCCCACGGCCTCAGGGGACCCGCAAGGGCCATGGGGCAGCGGGGCCGCTGCCCAGCCCGGCCTCCTCCTCGGATGCCACCAGCGGGACGACGCCGGGCAGAGAGCGGGTGCTCTCCCGGGCTCTGGCGCGCTCTGAAGACCAGGGCCTTTCGCTCAGATACACCCAGGCCTTCCCAGAAACCATCAGAGACGTCCAAGATTGAGGAATTACAGAAGTAGAAGAATGAGTTAAAACAAAAATAGGAGAGGAAGGGAGAGGAAGGGAGAGGAAGGGAGAGGAAGGGAGAGGAAGGGAGAGGAAGGAAGGGAGAGGAAGGGAGAGGAAGGAAGGGAGTGGATTTATGTCAGTGTGAAAGTTCATATGAGTTCAGAATCCTCCTCAGGGCAAAGGTTTCAGATTCCTCCAGAGGAGAGAGGGAGGAAAAGAGAGGTGGAGGTAGGGAGGGAAGGAGGGAGGAAGGAAAAGGAAGGGGGGGGAAGGGGAAGGAAGGGAGAGGAAGGAAGGGAGAGGAAGGGAGAGGAAGGAAGGGAGAGGAAGGGAGAGGAAGGGAGAGGAAGGGAGAGGGGAAAGAAAAGAAAGTCTAAAGAAAGAAAAATGACCTGTTGGGCAGTGCTGAAACCTGGTCTAAGTTTTATGGTGCCCTAAACGCCTGGGACAGCTGGGACTGCCCACACTGGCTCCAGAAACAGCCCCACACAGTGAAGGAAGGGTGAAGCCACTCGGACTTTGCTGACAAAGAAAACCACCCAAATCCTCCCAAAAAGAGACCCAGAGCTCTCAGTTATGGGTAAGCAGAAACACCATGAAGGGACCTTTGGGTCCAGCTGTATTGGAGCTGAAATTCAACCAGCGCTCCACAAATAATTCATGGAGCTCTGGGGACACCTGGAAGGACAGGACCCCATGGGCAGGGGCACCATGCATGCCACTGCAGCAGCATCTCCAGAGAGCAGTGACTCCATTTCTGGGGTCCCTGGCGGTGGGGCCCCCTTGTCCTTCTAGCCCCTGGGGTCTCCTCGGGATCCCCGGCTCCTCAGCAGCCTGCAGGACACGCTTGCCGCGAGGGCAGGTGCCCTCATGCCTGCGCTCGTGCTGCAGCGCTGACAGCGGGAGAAGGGCACCAGGACACGGTGCCCCCCGCACCACCCACTCCGGCCAAGCTGCGGCCATGCAGCCTGGGGGAGGTCTTGGCAGGAACACGCAGCTTCGCTGGGAGCCGGGATGGGGCTTGGGAAGGAACCGTGTGTCACCCCTCGTTTCAGCAAGGCCCTGGGCTCTGCAGCACGCCGGGGTCACCAGCAGCACCTGGCACCTACCTGGTGGGGATCTCCACAGGCGCGAGCTCCTTGTCAGGCCAGATGTACTTGATGATGATGACGGCAGTGACGTACCAGGTGCCGACCACGCTCAGAGAGCTGCGGGAGGGGACAGCAGCGTGGCAGAGCCTCCCCAGGCTGCCGCAGAGGCTCCGCTCCCATCTCCGCAGCCCTGGCCGGCTCCCGCGGCAGCCTGGACCACCGCGGTCCTTCCCACCAGGCCCATCTCGTGCCCTGCCCTCCCTCGCCTCCCCGAGACCGACTCCGAAGATGGTGCAGGAAGCAGCCGAGACCATGAGCAGGGAGGAGAAGCACATGCCCAGAGCCGCAGGGGCTGGTGGCAAAGCCAGGCGCAGAAAGGGGGTCTCCCCGGACCGTCAGGCGCTCCCCGGGAAGCCGATCTCCTTGGGGATGGAGAGCGGCAGGATGAGGAGGAGGGCGGTGACGCTGATGGTGAACTTGCGGTCCGTGTACCAGTGGCGGCTGCTGGCTCCCTCGGGCTCCGTCACCAGCGCGGCAATGACTGCGGGCAGAGCCGCGGCGTGAGGGCGCGCGGCAGGGACGCTCCCCGCGCCACGGGGCGCCCGCGGCGCTCTTACTCTTGTCCTCCTGGTCTCCGATGATGATGAGGAAAGCGATGCAGGTGCCGAAGGTGTAGACGGCGATAGCCACCTCGCACAGCACGCCGGGCACCTTCCCGCACACGGCCCACACCACCTCCTGGTAGGTGCGCTCGTTGCTGGCCTGCGAGCAGTATGCCAGGATGACCAGGCCTCCGATGATGAAGACCAGCATGCACTGGCGTGGGGAGGAAGCACGGAGGGGACACAGTGAGGGCACCACGTGCCACGGTCCCCAAAGCCACCCCAAACACAGCCCGGGCCTCTGCTGTCCCTCAGGGCACCTCACCCAACAGAGTCCCCCGCAGCTCCCACCCACGCACCCCTGTCGCGTGCCACGCAGGGCCCTCCCTCCCGCGCCTCTCACCATCTGCAGCGCGATGCCCGCGGCCACGCCGCCGGCCGTGTTGAAGGCGGCGGGGAAGTTGAGCAGGCCAGCGCCGAGGGCAGCGTTCACCACGATGAACACAGCGCCCAGGGCGGACGTGGCCCCCAGGCTGTCCCCCTGGCTCTCTCCGCTCTTGGGGACCGTCTCCACACTGGGGCTCTGCAGGAGCCTGGCCCGTTCCCCGGCATCGGCGCTCCACTCCCAGTCCCTGTAGTTGCTGTTGATGCTCCCGGTGCCCTGAGCCATCTTGGTCAGACGGCAGTATCCGCCCGGGTCACCGCCGCGCTCCCTGTACCAGGCGCCCCCCCCGCGTCCCAGCCCGGCCCAGCCGGCCGCCGCGAGCAGGGTCCCCGACAGCGCTGGCTCCATCAAGCAGCGGGGCAGCCAGCAGCCAGGCAGGGAGCGCAGCCACGCCGAAGATCCCGTCACTGCACCTGGAGGGGACACAAGAGGTACAAGAGCCAGTTAGGGAGGCAACGCAGGCATCAGACAGGGGCACACGTGAACCCTTCCCTGGCTCTCAGCGCACCTCGCACGCAGGCCCCGTAATTCCAGCCAGGGC